ATAATATGAATGTGACTGTCGATGGTTGGAAACTTGAATTTAATCTTTTATATATATGGCAGATATATTTAGTTCCATAATTTTTTCTGTGCTGTGTCATTCATGTTCTTGTATCACATATGACGTAGGTCAAGCATGCATGATGTGTAGCTGAGGTGGGACCAAGCTTTAATGCGGAATTTTATAAGGAAAAAATTACATAAAATTGTCACCTGCTTTTTCTTCTTGTTTTCTGATGTCAAAGCGTTTTACAGTTATAGCAGTTAAAATCAATGTGGGACCAGTGCAGCCTTCCTCTTCGGGAGTTACATGATATGTTTAATTTCTCATTGGTTTCCCTAGGGTGACTCAGGAGAAGTATGTGATTAATGGACCCTTTGTCTTTCATGAATTCTTGAAACCTATTTGTTAAAATTTCAAGCAAAATGGGGAAAGCTGTTTTTTATTTTGTACTTTGTGACCTTCACTGAGTTGGAGTCCAGTTCGTCAGTGCAATGCATCTCTGTTATAAGTTCTTTTTACTTGGTTGACACAAACTATGTGCAGCATTGTATCAGCAATTAGGTGAGAAAGGCAATGAAATGGACAATTCTGAATATCAAAGGAAGAAAGTAGAGGAACTGCAAAAGAAACTTGCTGATGCACATTCATCCATTCATCATATTGAACTGGTTAGGGCATTGAACCTACTCTTGTATTCTTACTGAAGAAGTAGTAATAGATATTGGGATTTACAAGCAATAATCGCTGACCATCACTTTATTCCTAAAATAACCAGATTGACAAAGTAAAACTTGAAGTTCATCTACTGAACGAACTTGATGTCAAGCGAGCAATGGCAGGCCCGTCAATGAGTGTCAATCTTGACATCCCAGAATCTATTGGTTTGTCTACACCATCACCTATGCCTTCATCATCAAGGCTCATGGATTTAGATATTGGTAGACTTGGAAGAGAAAGTTGTAGTTCGCTGCCTGTAGATTATTGCTTCATATTTAAAGAGAAACAAGACTGAAAAGATATAGGTCAGCCAGAGCTTATATTTAAATGTGGTCATGTCCAAGATACTGCACCAGTGTGTACTAGTTCCTTTGACCTTTGTTGTGGATGGCCGGATATCCTTTACATCATTTTGAAGAATGACGACCTGTTTATAATATTGTGAGTCAATTCTGCAATCTTTTTCTTGAAATCTCATACATTTGTAAATGTTAGGTAGGTTCAGATAGTTGACCTCTCATTGTTATGTTGTACCTCAAAGCATGTATGTTTTGGTGCTTCTATGTAATACTTTAGCTTGCTTTATGGAAATATATATGGGCTGTCAAATCAGGTAAGTGATTGTTCCATCAGGAAGGAGTTCTGGGTTTTAGAGTTCTGAAAAAAATGCTGATTATCTTCCAAATGTAGTCTTATGGAGTTGTGTCATACATCTTATGATTTTACACAAAAATAAGCGATGTGCAAGTAGTTGGTGTATGCGATCTATTACATAAAGCGGGACCCATAATTGAGCATTTGTAAATTAGGATAACTTCTGTACTTCTGGCTACTTTTGATTTCGAAGAAACCCTAATTCGGAATGATTTTGATTCTTGATACTTGAGGTTGACAATGTCATGGATGTAAAGAAGGGAACAGGGAACCATAAGCTAGCCTGTTGCATTGCTATTACTGAACACTACATCTCTGATTCACCATGGAGGCCTCTGAGTAATACAATGAACAGAGAAGAGCCCAAAGGTTCTGCGGATCATCATGCTTCCTCAGTTGCTTGTAGTCCTGCAGTTTCTTTGAGTGGCCTCCACATAAACTTTCTCCTGCATAGGGTGTTAAGGGTAAATGCAAACATGACTACTCACTTCATAAACTCTCTCTTGCATTGGGTGGATATTTTCACAACCCAAATTATTGGGTCAACTAGAGCACGGCCATTAGTAGGATTTATATCGTACTAATGGATCATGTCAAAAATTGCCCTCCCGACTTCATTGCCATGTTTTTCAAAGGCTTATCAGCAGGAAATGAGTGATTTTGCAGGAAAAAAAAAAGGATTATGTACCAGTTTCCGCATTCTGCAATAACCCTGACTTTAGGCGGAGTGCAGGGAGGAGGGCAAGAAACTGCAGTTCAGCCTTCGATAAAACCTGACCAATGTAGTCACATAATTTATAGACATATGAAAAATGACATTGTTAATCAAATAGGAACCGAAATTTTTTGAATTCACTGGTATTTTTTACCTTGGCTTCAAGTATCCAAACAACCAGTCCTTTGGCGTTTGTAGGAAGTTGTGAAAGCCTGTAATCAACTTCTGGTGGAAAATACCACCTTGCTATTGGCTGCTTCCCAACGTGAGCCTGCAACCCAACCATGTAAGTCTTGAATGAGAATTCGGGTGTTTCATCCATGCATGGGGGTAATCAGAGTTGTGTTGTATTACACTAATCGTTTTGGGTTCATATCATGTTCTTAGAACCCTTGATTTGATCGACCCATTTTATGATGACCTCCTTGTTAATTATGTCGGATTAATTAATATATATGTGAACTAAAAATTCAAGGATAATCTCTCTTTTTCTCGACCAAATCAATCACCTACAAGCCCCAAAAATTGAAAATCTTGTCGATCCAAATAAGCGAACTAAAAAATTGTCAAATTCTACAGGTTTCATATATAGTATCAGGTCAAAAAAATCAAGCATGTTCTTTGTTCTAACGTGTGTTTTTGTGTCCAAATCTTATTATTCATGTTTAATGTTCACCCCACATTCAACTTTTATTGCACCGTTTAGATGGTTGATAAGACTCACCGGGCAAACAGGGTGAACCTTGGTGAGAGTGGTCTCAGGGTCACCGAGCCCACGGGCGGAGAGGTCCAAGAACTGGTAGCCCTGGTACCTAAGCCTAGTGAAGTACCGCCCCTCGTAGCCTCCCTCGTGCGGACAATATATAGCTAGGGCTTTGTGTTCTTCCACGTCCGACAACCATTTTCCCAGATCGAACTTCACCAGGTCACCTCCAATAAAGTCCTCAATTCCTACACTGCACCTCACCACCGCCGTTCTACGTTGTTGTCGATTCAGTCCCCGATTTCTGGCCATCATTGGAATGGTGGAGTGTGGTGGCTGTTGGTGGTGCGGGAGATTGAGTGAATGCAGCGGCGAAGCATGATACGAACAGACTGAAGCTGCCATTGTTATTGATAGATAGTTAAAGGTATAATATGGAGCAAGAAATGGCCATGAGAACGATGACAAGGAAGTTTCAGGAAACAGGTTGTGGTGTTTTGTGCGTGGGGGGGTCCTTCTATGTTCTGTGGTGGATAAATCGGATAAGAAAGCATTAGTCGGGCAATGTGAGATAGACACAGCGGGTCGACCATAGTAGGAAGAAGTTCAGACATGTCAACTCATATCCTGACAATTTCTTAGTATAAAGTTGAGGAATTTTTTTTTTATAAATATTTTATTCTATTTAAGGGATTTGTTTTTAATCGAATTGAACGAAAGATTAATTGAAGTATATATGAACTAAGAATAATTCTATTTATATTTAAAAATTTAATATAATTTGTTGACTTAATGATATAATTTCATTGAAACTATTAGATTAACACCAAATTATAATATTTAATAGGGTCCACAATTAATTCAAAAATCACAGTGAATTAGTTTAGTAAATTAAATCAATAAATTACGTCCCAATTATATTACTTATAAACTAATCTGAATATCCCTCGTGGTTAAACCAAAATAAAAGAAAAATTAAAAAGATAGACAAAGTGGGGCTCGGGCAACACACTTCTGGTCACCGGGGGAGGTGCAAGTTTTAATAAGAGTTTTTATTGAATTATTATTATTTTTTCGGCTAATCTCAACTTATACTCTAAAAGATCACTCAAATTTTAATTTGTATATTCAAAGTTTAAAAATATCAATTTATACCTTGAAATACATAAATTCGTATTAATGTGTCTGGAGTTAATTCTGTCTTGTTTAGTCGTTAAAAATGTTTGGACTAATTATAAATTGTACCATTCAAAATTTAATTATTATATTTATGATCAAAATTCACTCATTAATGCTCGTTAAATAGCTCTCAATTGTATCGTATTACAATATTTTCGTGTCATGTTCGAGTAAATAAAAAAAATTAAAAATTAAAAAAATATATAAAATACCTAGTTCTTGTCTACAATATTAGTGAAATAGCTATTTTTTTATCTATAATTAGACACAAATATTTTAATTGTTCGATCAAATTATAGTTAGAAACAAAATTTAATGAGTATTATAGATAAAAAATAATTATTTTTTAATTTTTAAAAAATATTATATGAATTGTTGTAAATGTGAAATATATAACACAACGCAATTAACTCGACAAAAAAATATTTTTTGTGTTAAAATTTTTTTTTGCACAAAATTGTCTTCGCGCAAGATCAACAGTCAAATATACGAACGTGTGCAATTAGTGAGTAATAACATGCAATCAATGACAATAAATAATTAAAGCAGTAAATAAGGAGAAAACACAGAGGTTTATAGTGGTTCGGTCCGGATGACCTACTCCACTCTCGGGAACGGCAGCGGTGGCCTGGATCTTTTTATTAATGAGTGAAGTCACCGGAGTAAGTATTCTCTAGGAGTATTACAATGCTTTGGAGAGAGAGAGAGAGAGCAATGCGTGTAGGAAGGTGTAGTGTGTGTAGGGATATGAGAGTCTGTTCTCTATATGGAGAAAACTTACATTAAATAGGTGTGATGAGGCGGTGACGTGAGGAGAAAAACTTCTACTATTTTAGTAAGTACAGCTATGGTAGGAGATCTCCGTGCCTATCCCGATGTTTTCTCCCTCGTGCTCCTATTTTTTCGGAGGAAGGTCTTGAACTGGACTGAGCTCGTACTTGACTTTGGGCTTGGACCCAGAGTGATCTTGGACTTGCATTGGAGTGGCAAAATGAGGAGCAATGAGCAGTGCTTGGACAGTTGAGGGGGCCATGGGCGACGCTCCAAGTGCTCGAGCGTTGGCTCTTGGTGCTTTGAGTATTGGCCTCTAGACGTTGGCCTCTTGTACCTCTTGGATGTCTGCCTTTTTTATGTTGGCCTCTTGGACGTTGGTTTCTTGATGTCCTTTTGATTTTCCTCCTAATGGGTCGACTCATATTCAATTGGGCTCTTCTTTGGGCTTTCTTGGTTTATTTAAATTGGACTTGACCCAGTTAATTTTAGAATCATCATTTGCCTCCCATGGCCCGAGCCTCTAACTTTTTCGAGAGAAAGAGGTCGCGGGTATGTGCTTCGTCTTTATTGGAGTAAGTCGAAATCTTCCTCGTCTTCAAAGCTCCGTTGTATTGATCAGTATTGAACATAGGTTTTTTTTTTCTTTTCTTTTCTTTTTTAGGTTGATTCGATGCCCACTTTTGTTGACTTTTCTTTTTTTTTTTTCTTTTCCTTTTGGGTTGGCTGCTGGCGCCTGACCTCTCTGCCCTTTCTCTTTTTTTTTTCTTCTTGTTTTTGCTGCTGGGCGCCACCCCTCTCTTCCTTTTTTTTTTTTTTTCTCTTTCTTCTGTCTTGGCTGCTGTTGGGCTCCGCCCCCCTCTCCCCTTTCTCTTCTCTTTCTTTTTTTTTTCTCTTTGCCTTTTCCTTGCTTTGCTTTGGCAGTGTGCTGAGCGCCTGTTGTTTCTCAGACTGCACAAGCCATTTGTGGATTCTCAGACTGCATATTCAGACTATTTTTTTTGTTCCTTTCTCCTTGCTTGGGCTGGGCGCCGCCTCCCTTCTCTCTCTCTCTCTCTCTTCTTTCTTTTTCTTTTCTTCCTTTGGTCTGGCGCCTCTTCCTCTTCCTCTTTTTTTTTTTTTTCTTCTTTCTCCCTGCTTGGTCTGGGCGCCGCCTCCTTTGCCCTTTTCTCTCTCTTTTTTTTTATTCTTTTTGGGCGCCATCTTTTTTCGATCTTTTTTTTTTCTTTTTGTTGGTTTCCCTTAGGCGTCGCCCCTTGCATCCTTCTTTTTTTTAGCTTCCTTCCTTGGGAGACGCCTGTTGGTCAAGTGAGAGGGTCTATTGGGCGGCACCAGGGCTGTGTGCTAGCTTGGGCGACGCTTGGAGGAGACTGTGATAGTGCTTCAAGTGATGCTAGGAGGTTGGTCAGGCACCTTGGGCGACGCCAGGAGGCCTTGAGCACTGCTGTGTTTGGAGGATGCCTTGAGTCTTGCTATGAGCGACGTCTCTCTGGTGCTTGCTCACTAATTGACCTTATCTCTAATTATAGGCATCCTGTTGATAGAGCAATGGTGGAGACTTTTGTGTTTTTAGGGTAGTATCTTCTCCTCCTCCTAATAGGGTGAGGTTTGATGCCCCCAGTGCTTTTCGGCCAAGGTTCGATGACCAGGTTGTTTCCTGGGAGCGGGATCCGGTGGTGCCCCCACTCCTTCCCAGATTGGGGCTTCTGTGTGTATCAGAATTAGTCCTTGTACCGCTGTAGGAGTTGAGGCTCTAGTGTAGTTTTTTACGGGGACTGTGGCTTCACCCTCCTTCTAGTAATGGCTCGGTTGCAGACGACCTGAGCTTCAACAGTGTACCTGACAAAAATAATGTTATCTCAACATTAAAATATCTAACATGATTACCTGGAGAGAGGGGTAGACTATTTGTATGAGAGCAACGTGAGAGCTGTGGATGTCCTGTGAGAGGGTCGCATTAGCTGTGGCCGAGTTACGTATAGTCTCGGGAGATGGACTTGCGCGAGAGCAGAGTCATAGAGGCCGAGCTACATATAGTCTCGGGAGATGGCTGTCATGGAAGAGGCTTACTAGATGACTTGCACGAGAGCAGAGTCATAGGCCGAGCTACATATAGTCTCCGGAGATGGCTACCGTGGCAGAGACTTGTGTGAGAGCAAAGTCATAGGCCGAGCTACGTATAGTCTCGGGAGATGGGTGCCGTGGCAGAGGCTTACTAGGTGGCTTGCGCGAGAGTAGAGTCATAGACCGAGCTACGTATAGTCTCGGAAAGTAGTTGCCGTGGTAGAGGCTTACTAGGTGACTTGCGTGAGAACAGAGTCATAGTCCAAGTATGGGAGACGCCCAAGGTGGAGAGGGTGAGACCCCTCATCTGGAAGGCATCATAGGAGGTGCTCAAGGTGGAGAGGGTGAGACCCCTTGTTTGGACGACATCATGGGGGTGTCCAAGGTGTAAAGGGCGAGACCCCTCATCTAGAAGGAATCATAGGAGGTGCCCAAGGTGGAGAAGATGAGACCCCTCATCTAGGCGCCTAGTGATGACACCTTTCGTCTTTTTGTCTTCCTTGTTGTTAGGTCATGTTCTGACTTTTGTAAGCTATTTGTAAATTTTAGGAAGACAATTCGGGCACAATAATCTTCACAGAGTTTTATTTCATAAAATAATAACAAAATAAATTAACTGAAACAATAAAGGATAGATAAAATTTTAGGTGCTCGGTTTCCCATAGGTGGACCAAGACTTTCCTGGTGGAGTTGGAGTCGTCTCCTCCTCTTAGCCCTCAGGAGATTGTCTGGATTTCTCCGAGAGGCTGTTGGCATTCTCTGTCACCCTGGTCCCTCCCAGGTGGCAGGGCTTGCCCTCTGCCAGCAACGTATTGCCTCAACTGGCCACGTTGTATGAGCTCATCGATTTGTCTTTTAAGATCAAAGTAGTTGTCCGTGTCGTAGCCATGGTCGCGGTGGAAGTAGTAGTACTTGTCGTAGCCATGGTCGGGACGTTCTTCATCTTCTCTGGGCAGTGTACTGTAGGATCATCTTGTATTTAAAACAGGATATGCTCCACGGAAGCATTGAGTGGTGTGAATGCTTGTCGCTCTCTCAAAGGTGGGGGACCAAGACGGTCCTTGACAGAGACTCTCTTTATCCTATTCTTTTTGTTCTCTGCTTCTCCCATGTCTTCGCGGGTATCCTTTCTCTTCTCACCCCAGTAGGAGGACTCACCTCGTCTGGCCTTGGTGACATCCTCAGCGTTTATGTACTTCTGTGCCCTTGACAACAGCTCGGGCATGCTAGAGGGCGGCTTCTTAAGAACAAAGAACATAAAACTAGAGGTGCGAAAGACAACGATAAAGGCAGCCAAGGCTACCTTATCATTTGGCTCATCAATCTGTAGTACCTCCTCATTGAAGTGGGCAAGGTAGTTTCTGAGACTTTCATCCTGGTCCTACTTGATAGTGAACAGATGGGTTACTGGCTTTTGATGTCGGCGTCCCCTAATGAAGTGGGAGACGAAGGACCTGCTGAGCTCTGCAAAGGAGCGAATGGAGGAGGGTCTGAGCTTGGAGAACCACTGGCGGGCAGACCCTTCAAGGTGGTAGGAAAAACTCTACACATTATCTCTTCAAG